ACCACTACTGATGCTACTACTACTATTTTTCTTTTTCATTATGAGTGGACGCCTTCGTTAAGCAGGTCGAAGTTCTTGATCGCTTAGCATGATAGGGATGTGGCCGAATTCCCTTCTCGTGGAGTCCGATGGGGATGCTGTTGAAGGCTTATACGGCCGTGCTTTACTTGAATGGCATTCGAGTCTCATGGGATGTACCTTAGAATGCGCCTTGAACAGATCATTTACCCGATTCAGGTCATATGTGAGCTGCCCGTGGGTTTTAGTAGTGCTATAGTTGTACCGATGGTATTCCCAGAAGTAAGTGTTTTCTGGGGCGGGACTTATTTTCCGCCAGTCAGTCAAGCTTCAGCCAATTTCTGTAAATGGGCAGCAGCGAATTGGAATCCTCTTAGGTCTCATTGGGTCCCATTGCCACCCCATCGGGGTTCCACTGGCTGCGCATGCGGCCCCTATGGGATTTTATATATATATATATATATATATATATATATATATAGGGTTCCTATCGGCATGCAATAGGGCCCCATTCATGTCGGAACCCCCGAATTGTTTTTTGTTGAAAAGGAACAAATCGCAACGCTCAACCTGTTTTGTGGCTTCGGCTGCTTTTTGCAGAAAGCCTGTCATGATCCTATTCGGCAGCTGCTCCTGGTTCCTCCTGCTCCTGCTCCCTCTTTGTTTATTCCTCGCCGATCTCATCCTGGCGAGTTCATCGGTATCCCGAAACATCGCGAGGGCCCCAGATTCTCCTGTAGAATCGCGGGGGTCCTTACGGCGCCCTGGGTATTCCCAGACAGCCTCAGCGGTTCTTGTGGGATCCTTGAGACTTCTACGGTTTCCTTGTAATTTTTGCGGGCTCCTTCGAAATCCCGAACAATTCTTTGAACATTCGGGAGGACGGTTTTTCAATAATCTCGATGGGTCGAAAGGTTCATGGGGAATGTTGACGTATCCGGAAGAATTCGGAAGATTCTTGCGGCAGGCTGAGTGGCCCTGGAGACTCCAAAGGGAACGTTTCAGGGATCCGGAAAATGTTTGATGAGCCTGTGGGGGCATCCAACGCAATTCGGTTGAGGATGCAATCGCCGTGAAACATTTTGAAATGCTCATTGAGGAATCTCGGTGCGTCCTGCAAAGTCGTGGTGCCTTCTTCCGGATCTTGCTTCATTCTGAAATGCCGTTAGGAACGCTAGGACCCCTGAGAAACCAGAACTGGAGTTTGAAGGATATGGCCGAATCGTGGGGACGCAAAGAAGTTTTGGGGAGTCGTGCATGCGGAGTCATCCTGAGGATCCCTGAGGATTTCCAGGAGTTCTTGAAGATTTCACATGAGGTTGCAGATCCTTATAAAGGTTCAGGAGGACACATGTATCAACCGAAATGGTTCGGTGGATTCCTGGGGTTGCGTTTCCAGCGAAGCCCTGAACACCCGGGAATGTTTGGGAACTCCCGGATTTGTCTCAGGGTGAAGCGGATGAGGGGGAACGAGGGAGGAACGACAGCGATGAGGAGAGATGCGGATCCAGAAATAGCGGCCTGCGCTGGGGCGAAATCGCCATGTTGAACGACAGGGGCAAAGCGCCGATCCTACAATGAGGCCAGTACTGCAGCGGCAGCACCGTTGTGAGACACGGTGAATGTCACCACCGACAAAACCACCCCAACCCAACCCGAAGGCCCCGATTTGCCTTCCATTTCCAGTGGGGGGGGGGTCGGGGAACATAGGAAAAAACACATGGAACCCGTACCCCCCCCCTTCGGGTTGGGTTGGGGTGATTTGGTAAGTAGTAATATAGGAAGTTCTGCCAGCCAGTTTTTGAAACCTTGTGCAAAGAAAACAGTACTTTGAGGGAGGCCAGGCGACTTCCGGTTTATTTTTGGGGGGTGAGAGAGCAGCATGGTCTTCAGATGGAGTCGCTGTAAGAGGGGGAGAGGAGGGGCGAGCAGCGGTCCAGGGGGAGGAGGAGGCGATGGAACGGAGAGAAGAGGGAGGGGAGGGAAGGGAGGAGGAAGGGAGGGGAGGGAATGGAGGAGGCGAGGGGAGGGGAGAGAAGGGAGGAGGAAGGAAGGGGGAGGCGTGGGAGGAGGGGCGGCGGAGAAGGAAGAGTGGGAACGATGGGAGCAGGACCGACGGGAACGAGGGTCAGGACGGCGCTGCCCGACCAGGAGATGTCGAGGAGGCCGTTCGGCCCTTTCGTTTTGCGCTCGCATGCTCCCACGCTCGCTGAATCGATCCGCTTGCGGCTGGCTCAAGGCCCAACGCGCCCAGGATTCGAGGCCACCATAGGGCGGGAGTCGCCTGGGCAGTAAAATCATCTTCGTCATCATCATCATCCTCATTATAATCTTCGACATCATCATCCTCATCATCATCATCATCATCATCATCATCCTCATCCTCATCATCATCATCATCCTCATCCTCATCCTCGTCCTCATCCTTATCCTTATCCTTATCCTCATCGTCGTCCTCATCTTCAACGTCTTCGTCATCGTCGCCATCATAATCAGCATCATCATCATCACGACGATCAGCATCGTCATCGTCATTTCTATCATCAGCATCGTCATTACCATCGTCATAAACATCGTCGTCACCATCATCGCCACCATCATCATCATCATCATCCTCATCCTCATCCTCATGCTCATCATCGCCATCGTCATCATCAGCATTATGATGATCATGAACATCATCATCAATATCACGGTAATCGTTACCATCATTGCAAACACATAATCCGCCCCATCAGCATCGACAGCATTATGCATCAGCATCGTCATCAGCATCATCATTACCATCGCCAGCATCATGTTCATCAGCTTCACCAGCATCGCCGCGAGCAGCATCATCATCATTACTGCTATTGTTATGATTAGCATTGCCATTACTGTGTTTACAGTATTTCCTGGTCGTGCCCGAATTCGATATTGCTACCGGTATCATCATCATAACCACTTGGCATCGCTCGGACGTGTGCATTTTTCCTTCGGCGAGGACCATCGAGGAGCTTACTTGATCATTCGGAGAAAAAAAAACACGCACGAAACCGAAAGAACACAGGGAGTGGACGTCCGAGCGATGCCCAGACCAGGATTACCATGCTCAGCATCATCGTCATCGTCAGTGTCATCACCAACATCAAGCCATTATCGTCATCGCCACCACGATCATCACCATCACCACCATCATCATCATCCTCATCATCCTCTGCATGAGCCCCGCGCTGGAGTTTGACAGTCCAGTTCTCGTGGGATGTGTGCTAGCCTAGCAGGAGCTCGCGCCAGATGGCAGACGGCGCCTCGTCACTCTCTCGGCGGCCGCTTCGGGCCAACCGGAGTCCCCCAGACCCGAGTGCTGCGTCTCCCCGAGGAGAGGAGGAGGAGGAGGAGGAGGAGGAGGAGGAGGAGGAGGAGGAGGAGGAGGAGGAGGAGGAGGAGGAGGAGGGGGGGAGGAGGAGGAGGGGGAGGAGGAGGAGGAGGAGGAGGAGGAGGAGGAGGAGGAGGGGGAGGAGGAGGAGGAGGAGGAAGAGGAGGAGGAGGAGGAGGGGTGCCCGAATGCGGCCACCGTCACCCAGATCGGCGTGTCCGTCTTCCCTGGGGTGGGGGTGGTGCTCCGAGTGTCCGAGGGTTGTACGGTCGTGAGCTGTGGCTCCGCGTGTCTCTCCGCCGATTTTGGCCCACCACACCTTGGCGCGGCTCGCAGACCACGCTCCCACTTCCAAGCGTCCACGTCTCGAGCCTTTCCAGGCCCTCTCGCCCCATGGAGTCGGAGCCACAGGCGATCCCCCTGGCAGAGCACGGCGCGCCGCCGGGGCCGCCGCCGCGACACGCTGAGTGACCGAAGGCCCAGGCTTCGGGCGGATTATTTTCTTCTGTTCGGCCCGTGGGCTTCAAGCGCTCTGGATCCCCGCTGTCCGGGGCCGGTGTTCCATCCCAGGTCGCTGCGCTCGGCTGCGCGTGAGAGTGACCTTTTGCTGGAGTGGCCTTTGGGGCGGGCTCACAGGGGCGGCCCCAGCACTCGCCCGCGCGCTCGGGTTTGGGCCCGTCGCGGTCCCCTGACACCGCGCACCAAAGGTCACTCTTGCCTAGGGTCACCCTTGCCGTTGCGCTGATGGCACCTCGGAGCCGGAAGGGGCCTCCCGTGGCCCAGATGGGCACGAGACACTCCGCGCCTGCGCTTCAGTCACGTAGGCGACGACCGAGTCCGCTAATCACTCCGACCCCCTCGCCCTGCCTTCTCTGAAGCGCCACACAGCAGCCTTCGATATTCTGCTCCGCACGGGCCTCGCCCGCTGCCGCCGGCCCCCCTCTCCATCAGATTGGGACATTGATGGGCCCACTTTCCACTACCACTACCATAGGTCGGATGGGGAGGAGGAGGAGGAGGAGGAGGAGGAGGAGGAGGAGGAGGAGGAGGTGGAGGAGGAGGAGGAGGAGGAGGAGGAGGACCTCCTCATCCTCCCTTCTCCCCCGTCCTACGTGTGGTAGTGTGGGCGGAAACTTTGCCCATCAGACATGCCAGAGCCACAGCCAACTTGCAGAGTAAGGATGAGCCACCTTCCCAAGGGATCCTCGCCTCCTCGCTGGGGACGAGATGAACGGTTCAGGTTCTCGATGTCGGCGTGTATCGCGGGCTTGCTGTGGCCGCGCTTGGCCGCCGCCGCGAAAGCCTGAGGGCCTGTCCCTCGGGAGGGGCGGGTTCGGGCGCGCGGCTCTCCTCCTCCTCCCCTCCCTCCTCCTCCTCCTCCTCCTCTCCTCCTCTCCTCCTCCTCCTCCTCCTCCTCCCTCCTCCCTCCTCCTCGACCTCCTCCCTCCTCCCTCCTCCCCCTCCTCCCCCTCCTCCCTCCTCCCTCGTCCCTCCTCCCTCCTCCCTCCTCCCTCCTCCCCCTCCTCCCTCCTCCTCGACCTCCTCCTCCCTCCTCCCTCCTCAATACTCCTCGACCTCCTCCGCCCCTCGCCTCTGCGAGCGCGGTGCCCGCTCCCGGCCGCCCCAGGCCACCGTCTCGTCCCTGCTGTCGCTGCCCTGCGCCCGGCAGGTCGTGGCCACCGTGGCCACTGGACGGGCGGGGGCTGGAAGTCGGCGGCGAGCGAAGGGGGGGGGAAGTGAGAAGGAGGAGGAGGAGGAGGAGGAAGAGGAGGAGGAGGAGAAGAATGACGGAAGCGGAAGAGGAGGGAGGAGGAGGCCACTGGACGGGCAGGGGCTGGAAGTCGGCGGCGAGCGAAGGGGGGGGGAAGGGAGAAGGTCACCACCCACCAAACCACCCCAACCCAACCCGAAGGCCCAGATTTATCCTCGATTTCCAGTGGGGGGGTCGGGGAATATTGAAAAAACACATGGAACCCGTACCCCCCCCCAACCCGAAATTCGGGTCAAATTCGGGTCTTTGGGTTGGGTTGGGGTGGTCTGGTAGGTAGTCAGAAGGAGCGGGCCTTCTCAGAAGTCTCGGAAGTTCCGCGGCCTTCTGAGAAGTTTCCTGAGCCTTCCCCTAAAACAGAAGAAGCTTCTCGGACGGCGCGAGGGCTTCTGAGAAGCCCGCCGCCTTCTGAGAAGGCCGTCTCCTTCTCATTTCCCCCCCTCGCCCGCCGCCTAGGAAGGGCCGGAAGGGGAGGGAGGAGGAGGGGCCCAGGCTTTCCCCTCTTCGGGCCTCCTGGGAGGCCCCCGTCGCCACCGCTGCATTCGCCTCGAAATTCTAGTCAGAACGCACCCCGGGAGAGGTCCGAGGGGTAGCGGTATTGGTACCTCTTGGTTTCCCCAGCAATTTTCCTTCGTTTTCGTTTTTGGGGGCCTGGTAGGCCCTCGTCGCCACCGCTGGATTCGCCAGAGCAGGGGAGCTGGCGTGCCCGCTTGGTCACTGCCGATTGGCTCGCCGAAATTCTGGTCAGGAAGCATCCTGGGAGAGGTCCAGGGAGGAGCGGTACCCGTACCTTGTGGTTTCCAAGAGGGAGGAGGGGGATGATGATGCTGATGAGGAGGAAGAGGAGAAAAGAAGATGGAGGAGGAGTAGCGAGCGCATGAGGGGACGCGCCGAGTCAGGATTCGGGACAGATAGCAACGATTGGGAAAAGGTGAGAACGCGCAATCTCTCACAGACGATTGGTGGGGCCCCGAGGCGCTGGGTATGCCCGCAAGGTAGCGGCAGCGGCGGGAGGCACCACGGGCATGCACGCGCAAGGGCGCGGGCACATGCCTACCCGATCGGAAGAGCCGACCAGGGGCAGTCGAACGATCCACGAGCGACGAGGAGAAGCAAAAACACGCCGTGCGAATAAAGAGAGACGGCAGGGCGTGGCAGGCAGTAGCAAATCAAGACAGTACAGACAGCAGAGGCTAGCAGTAAGCATAGCCAGCGATGAGCAAGTAATCGGGAGGTCGCTCTGGGATAAACGAGACATACGCGAAGTCGCCGCACGACCTCGTCTGACGGAGGGTCTCGCCTCGGGAGGAAGAGGCGAAGCCACCGCTCCGTGGCGTGCACGACCCTTCCCCATCCCAATCCGACCCCCCGCCACGCCCCCCGCCAAGGCGGGGGGCCATGGACACGCCCCGCTCCCCCTCCCACGAGTCAGGGCGAGCCTGCATCCGTGGCGTGCGCGGTCCGTCCCACTCCCACATCGCCCCCCCACCACGCCCCCCGCCAAGGCGGGGAGCAATGGACACGCCCCTCTCCCCCTCCGACGACGCAGAGAAGCAGGAAGAGGTGACCGAGGAGGTGGAGGAGGTGGTGGCCGAGGGAACGCGGCAGGCGACTATAACGCATGCGCCTATGAGTGCCCACATGTCGAAGATGAACATGGTGGCCAAGAATATTATGTCGCTCGACATGCCCTCGTCCCACGCCGGTCTCGTGCGCCCAGGAATACCGCTTCCACCGACAGGGGCCCCTCCAGCAACAGCCAGACGCTGGAATACGTCCGTGCCAGCACGAAGATGCCAGTCTGTCGCACCAGCGGCCGCTCCACGAGCAGCAGGTACATGATCACCCTCAGCGTGGACGCCAAAAACGGCGGCCCGACCGAGCCACCCATCAGCATCGGCTCGGGGAGCTTCGGCAGCTCGGACTCCATCATCGTCATCGCCTGCAGGGCCAGGAACATGCAGTACTGCTGGTCCAGCACCTTCCTGCGGCGGCTTCTGCTGCGCCTCCAGTCCCGCCCTGCCGCTGGGTCCTCCCTGAGGCTGCGAGGGCGGAGAAGGGGATCTCCCGCCCGAGTCTCTCAGGTGACGCGCCTGCGGGGGGGTCGAGACCTTCGCAGGGGCAGTGAGTGCGCCTGTCGACGCGGTTGTGCTCCCCGTCGGCGTTGAAAACGTAGAACACGAAGTAAGAAGAGGTTGATCCACGGCAATGCCAGCGCTCTCCTTCAAATGAATGCTGGATCCCATGTCAGCAACACTGACTCCATCATCGGCAGGAATGCCACGGAAGTCGCCTGCATCGGCTCGAAGATGCCCCTCTGCAGCTGGCGCAACACCTGTATCAGCGACGCGAGGCTTCTGGAGAATTGCATGAGGAACGTAGGCGGCAGCTTGGCTGCGGAGCGGCGTGCGCACGACGGAGTCGACGAACTGGGAGGCCAGCCGCGCGCCTGCCGCTGCCGTCAAATGGGCCACCGCGTGCACCTGCGCCGAGGGGGCGAGCAGCGCGGACAACTCGCAAGCGGCGAACTGAGCATGTCGAACAGCGACACGTCGGGCTCGAACACGCCGACGAGCTGCAGGGGTCACACCAGGCGGGCGACACGGCTGCAGCAGCATGAAGACGCCAGGGCCGACGCGCGGCGGGCGCCTGGCGGCTGGGGGCTGAGCGAAACGGGCCGGGCGAATGGCAACGCAAAACGGCCGCGGCGCTGAAGCCACCTAAGATGGAGGAGGAGGAGGAGGAGGAGGAGGAGGAGGAGGAGGAGGAGGAGGAGGTCGAGGAGCAGGATCGACGATCGATCGGCGAGGATCGAAGGGCGATCAATGCCCCGCCCGCGGCCCCGCGGTCGGGTGCGGCGCTCTGGGCGGCCGGCCGAGCGCGCCGCCCGCCGCCGAGCACGCCCTCGAGGGGCCTCGTGGCCTGTCCCCCCCGCCGTCGTTGGGAGGGGGCGGCCAGGGTGGTGCGAGCTCATGGCGGCGGAGGTGGCGCTCTACCAGGCAGTCTGTGGTCCAGGAGCAACAGGAGGAGGAGGAGGAGGAGGAGGAGGAGGAGGAGGAGGGAGAGGAAGAGGAGGAGGAGGAGGAGGAGGAGGAGGATGAGGAGGAGGAGAATGACGGAAGCGGAAGAGGAGGGATGAGGGAGGAGAGAGAAGAAGTATTGAGGAGGATGAGGAGGGAGACGAATGAGTGAGAAGAAGGCGGATGAGGTGGATTGCTGCTGAGGGGCAGCAGGGGGGAGACGGAGGCGGAGTTTGGAGGTTGAGGCGGATGAGGAGGCGGTTGGAGGGTGAGGAGGAAGGAGGTGGAGAAGAGTTGCAGAGGAGGATAAGGAGGGAGTTCAGGCTGAAGCGAGAGAATTTCGATCAGGTGGAGGAGGCGGAACGAGGAAGGAGGCGAGGAGACGGAGGAAGGCGTAAAGAGAGTGGTCGGATGGATACATTTCGGTTGCTGGGACAATCAAACACGCACACATCATATGTGTATACATTAATGAGTGGCCAACCTTGAAGGGATGCAGCTTCTGGTTTGCGATTAGCGTCGGATTGGGTTCGGGATCTGTATGTCCAGCAGTGCACCTGTATACAGCTATGGATATACCCATAATATGTATTCCCCTTACATGCTCATCGGTACCGCTATCAAGTACAGTCGGGGCCCTGAAGAAGGAACCCTTTTCGTTGGGGAGGGGCTCCGCGTTCCTTAAGTGTTTCGCAGCTTGCCTCAGGCTTTCCCTAGGTTTTCGATCGGGAATCGAAGGTTAACTTATGGAAACAAGGGGCCTCGTTCCTTATTTAGGGTTCCTCAGGTCAACGCCCCGACTGCACCCATGGTATGTATCCCCCTTACATGTTCATCGGCACCGCTGTCAAGTAACCGAGTGATCTGGCGCTCGACATTACCTTCACGACGTGGCGGCCTCGCTCCCCATCGACCGACCTCGGTATTCATCGACGTACCGATCGCGCGATCGATGGAATTGTCTACTATTACACATCGGCCTTGCTAGTATGCCTTCGTACCTCCTCCTACTCCCCCCACGCACACCAAGCTCTGCCCTGCACTACCTACGCTGCGCTTCCATTCCCCAGTATATAGTTTACTAGCTTGCTACCTGTTTCACCCCGTCGTTTGGACTCACGCAGCGGGTCGCGCTGGCCGTCGCTCGTCTAACAACCCATGTCTCTACGGAAACATAGCCCGCCGCCCCCGACGATGTTGCCACCGCTGTGTCATACCTTGGCAACCACGGAGCGGCCACCGTGGCAACCATCGAGACGGCTTGTGAAACAGCCACAGAACAGCCGCAAGTCAACCACATGACGGCCTCGGGGAAAACATCGGAACAACCACATCAACAGTTATCTAAGCAACAAGCAGGATAACCAGCAACCGCGTGACAACCGCAGGACCGTGGTACAACGACGGGGGACCCAGATGAGAATCACAGAAAACGACGGGACAACCTCAGGTCAGCTACGACGCAACCACAGAAAAAAAGCGTGGGACAACCACCTGAACAACCATGGGGACCACCTCCTGTCGGGGGGGGGGGGGGGCGCGGGGGAGGAACATTATGTTGACAATTTGCCCTCACGAGGTAATGACATGTCACGCTTGGCGCAGCTTCTCCTCGCCCGCACGCGCGTCACGGACGGCACGATCCGACACCCAAGTCGATTGCCCGATTAGGGGGACCCGTCCCACTTGGGTCTCACCCTTTTGGCATGGAGATGTCCGCGTTGGTGTCGGTTCAGTGCGATGCAGGAGAGGGGGAGTTCTTCAAACCCTCTTGCCTCTCCAGCACATGATCGTATTTCCTCTTCCCTTGATTCTCGTGCCCTGTCTCAGGTGCCCGGTCTGCGACTGGAAGCTGTAGTGTTCCCTTGTCTCTTGTCCGTTTGACAGTCGGGGCGCAGCGCATCGGCGTCTTGCAGAATCGACCGCGGACGGTCGTGCTGCCCGCAGGCCCCGGCATGACCAGACGAAGGTAACCCCAACGACATTCGGGGCCCTCTGCGGGGGGGACTGCAGGTCGACCGTTGGGCAGAGCTGCGTGCAGCCCGAGCCTCCGGGGATGTACCGTCGGGGCCCTGAAGAAGGAACCCTTTTCGTTGGGGAGGGGCTCCGCGTTCCTTTAGTGTTTCACAGCTTGCCTCAGTCGGGCGGGCGAAAGGGGGGGATTGGGAAAGGGGGGGTTACGAAATTTGCTGCATGCAGCTGGTTTCGGCCTCACCGAGGGGCCCATTCCTCGATACATGGCCGCTCCGGCGCCGGGAGGCGCCGGAAAATCAGCTACGTGAGCTGATTCTCAAACCCCCCCTTTGCTATCCCCCCCTTTCGCCCGACCCGACTCAGGCTTTCCCTAGGTTTTCGATCGGAAATCGAAGGTTAACTTGTGGAAAATAGGGGCCTCGTCAACGCCCCGACTGTACGAGGCTGCCTCTCCGCCTGCGTTCGCGAGGCAGGCGGCGGACGCGTCGGACACCTGTTGTGTCAGCGGCCCCTGACGTGCTGCAGGCGGCATCGGTTGGTTGGTCGCTGGATTCCGCAGGGCGCGGTTCTGCTCCCGGAGGCCGCGAGCGCTCTTGGCGTGCCGTCCACGGGCGCGGGAGCCCAGGCGGTCGCAGGCGTGGCGGGAACCGTGCGAGCCAGCGCGGCCGCGTGAAGAAGATTCGGTGGCCCGATGGGTGAAAGACTGGACGACATCTGGGAACATCTTGCTATACAGCGCGAGTGGTGGAGGGAGAAAGATCGAGAGAGAGAGAGAGGGAGAGATAGCTCAGACATCGTAACCGAGAGAACTTCACATATCTATGCATATGTGTGCACACACAAAGCTGTCATATATGGTAGACAGCAAGAGAAAAGAGAGAGGGGCAGGGGGAGAGAGAGAGAGAGAGAGAGACATTATGATATAAAGAAAGAGGGAAAGACACATGTTTGGATTCCGTTTCATGATTCCTCATTGCCCCTATTTGTTCCCAATTGTCCTGTGCATGATTAGTGTCCTGCCCTCATCTTGTTTCATCCCTGCATTCACCACCTGCGCTCCCTGCTTCGGCCGCTCTCGCCGACGATCCGGCGGCCACGCTCTTCGTGCTGCTGCCGCACGACTCGGTGCCTGTCCTCTGCTTTGGGTGGGGAGATCCCTGCGTGCTCGCCGTTGCTGGGCTGCTGAGGAGGTGGGGGAGGAGGAGGCGCAGGCAACGCAACGAGCCCAGCGGTTCAATCTCGGGGCAACGTCAACAGTCGAGAAGGGGCACGCAACACCTGCGGCGAGGCCTGTAACGCAGGCGTGGCTGGTCAGGAAGAGCGGAGACGAGGAAAGTGCGGATGGTCGCTGCTGGTCGGGGAGGCATACAGTCGGGGCGCTGAAGAAGGAACCCTTTTCGTGGGGAAGGGGCTCGGTGCTTCTTCACTGTTTTTTTTAGCTTGCCTCGGGTGCTCCTCAGGCTTTCGACGGGAGATCGGAGCTCGGCGTATGGGACAAAGGGGCCTCGTATCCGATTTGGGGTTCCTTAGATCAACTCCCCGACTGCACCCCTCGGTCGTTGAAAGTAGGTATTTTTGGATTCCCAGATTCCAATCTACTTTCAGCGCCTTCCTACTTCAAGAGTCGAGTGGTTTTCCCTCTCCCTTCCTTCCTCTTCAGGAGGCGGGCCGAAGCCCAATGTGTTTCCAACGCCTTCCTACTTCATGTTTCTACCTACTTCTTCCGACCGATGGGCACAGCTCGCGCCGCCCCTCGGAAGTGTGGGCGTGCGGCCACGGCTCGCTCCGAGAGGGGTCGCCGGACTCGCCCCCCCCCCCCCCCGGGGGCGGCCCGGCGCGCCTGCCCCCCCGCGCGCACGCCTCTGCAGAGTCGTTGCGCAGAGGTGGCTTTGTGTGCGCTGCCGGGGCGAGGGGCCGTGCGTGGCTGCTGCCGCCGGAGGAGGATTTCGCGAATTGAGGGCTGAAGGAGGAGGAGGAGGAGGAGGAGGATTTCGCGAATTGAGAGCTGAAGGAGGAGGAGGAGGATTTCGCGAATTGAGAGCTGAAGGAGGAGGAGGAGGAGGAGGAGGAGGAGGAGGAGGAGGAGGAGGAAGGCGATGAGGAGAAGGGGGACGAGGAGGAGGAGGAGCTGTGCACAGTGACTGGGCCCTGCTGGGCACACTTCACCCTGCCAGGAGTCCTCGCCGAGTCGCAACACGAGTGCAGAGTTGTGAGCAGAGGCCGACCGTATCCAGAGGCCGAGGGGCGTCTCCTGTCCAAGTGATCGTCCTTACTCTCCGCCTCCTCCTTCTAGAGGCATGCTGGAGGCCAGATTGAGGTAACTCGGACCAGATTGCGTCATTTTCAAGACCATCTCAGAACATGTTTGGTCGTCTTGGAGCCATCATGATTAACTTTCCCCTCCCACACATGCCCCTGAGAGGCCAACGTGCTTCAAACACCGAAGGTCCTCCAGAGACTTTGTGTCTGAGCGAAGGCGGGGGGTCCGAAGGTAGGAAGGAGCCCCCCCGTCGAAGCCTGGATCATCGCGTTTGGAGCCCTCCTGCGACGCTCTTGAGGCGGTCCAGTGCGCTCTTGCGGCCGTCTTGGGGCCTCTCTGTGCCCCTCTGGGAGCTCTATTGTCAGGAGGGAAAAAAACACACAGACACGATTAATCCTCGATTCCCAGGAAAATATGGGAAAATATGGGAATTGGGGGGGAAGACAAAAACCCAGAAAATATGGGAAAATATGGGAACTATTTTTATTTGTGTGTATTTATTTGAAAGAGCGTGTTCTACCGCTGCTGGCGGAAAACCGGGGGGGGTCACTACCGGTTCGAACCCCTCCCCCCCCCCCTCCGGAAAACCGGGGGGGGTCACTACCGGTTCGAACCCCCCCCCCCCCCCCCCCCCCCAGCTCATCATGAAAAGGGGGGGGGGTCACTACCGGTTCGAACCCCCCCCCCCCTCCCTCGAAAACCGAGTGGGGGTGCGGACAGTGGTGGGGACGGTGTTGGTGGGGAC